ACACAACAAGAAGGTGTTCCTCAAGGCTCTATTTTGAGTGTGACTCTGTTCCTAATTAAAATTAATAGCATAGCTAACTGTCTTCCCCCTAGTGTGAAACACTCTTTGTATGTGGATGACTTTCAGATCTCCTGCCAGTCTAGTAACATGAGTTTCATTGAGAGACAACTGCAAACCTCTTTAAATCGCATAGAAAATTGGTCCAAGACCAATGGTTTTAGTTTCAACGTAGAGAAGACCTCGTGCATTCACTTTTGCCGAAGGCGTGGTTTGCACCTGGATCCTGAAATATATTTAAATGGAGTTAAAATTCCAATTGTTAATGAGACTAAGTTTTTGGGTGTTTGTTTTGACAAAAAACTGACATTCTTGCCACACTTGCGCAACCTGAAGAGTAGATGTTTAAAATCTCTAAACCTTTTAAAGGTATTATGCTGCTCATCCTGGGGAGCAGACAAAGTTTCTATGCTCAGGATTTATAGGGCCCTTGTCCGCTCTAAGCTGGACTACGGATGCATTGTTTATGGCTCTGCGCGAGAATCTACTCTTCGGATGCTGGATCCAATCCATCATCAAGCACTGCGTTTGTGCACTGGTGCATTCCGAACTTCCCCTGTCCAAAGTTTGTATGTGGATGCTTATGAGCCTCCACTGTCTCTTAGGAGAGAACAGTTGTCTCTATTTTACTATATAAAGCAGAAATCTAACTCTAAACCTTCAGTCGATTATAGAGTATTAGATACTCAGCTGAAAAGGTTATTTGAAACTCGCCCTAGTTGTGTCCCTACATTCCCCATAAGAACGGAGAATGTGAGTAGCACGATTGACCTTAACACAAGCAACATTTCACAGCTAGAGGTCTGTAGTATATCTCCTTGGTCAACTCCTGTGATAAATGTTGACCTTAGCTTAAAGCAGTTTCCTAAGGAATCCACACCAGACTACGTCTATAGACAGCACTTTGCAGAAATTCAACATTGTGACAGGAATTTAATTCCTATTTATACAGATGGATCTAAATCTGATGATTACGTTGGCTCAGCTTTCGTCTGCCAGGATGAAATTGTGGCAGAACAAATTGCATCAAATTCTTCTATCTTTTCTGCAGAGTTGCATGCTATTTATTTAGCTCTAAAGTATATAAATAGGAAAGGTCATCGTTGCTGTGTTATATACACTGACTCAGTTAGTGCACTTCAGGCTTTGATCTCGTGTGAACCTAGTTCCCACTCCATAGTGATTAAAATTCATAAACTGTTTTGCCATCTTATTGCAAGTAATTTCTTTGTAAAATTTTGTTGGGTCCCAGGCCATGTAGGTATAAAAGGAAATGAAGAAGCGGACGCAGCTGCAAAGGCAGCTAGTCCTTCACAGCATATAATGCCTATTGAAGGAGGTGATTTGAAGCTAGTTGTTAAAAAACGACTAGCAGAGCGATGGCAAAACATGTGGAATGCACAAATCCACAATAAACTACACGAGATCAAGCCGAATATAGAAAATTGGACACGTAATAAACAGTATGACAGGAGATCTGAAGTAATTCTTACTCGTTTGAGAATTGGGCATACTCGGTTGACTCATCTGTACCTTTTGAAGGGTGAAGATCAGCCATTATGCCAATATTGTAACTGTACTGTAAGTGTTAAACACATACTTTACAACTGCATTGCCTCTGAGAGGATACGTAGACAGCATTTTGGAAATGCAAGTTTTAAAGAGATTTTGGGCCAGAGGCCAAATCTGGACAACATAGTGGACTTTCTGAAAGTCAATAATATGTATAGAGATATTTGATTAGTTATTTATTTATTTACTTATTTTAGAGTTATATTTACCTTGTTTTTGCTTAGTTATCTTGTTGTATATATTTGTTGTTTTTTATTTATTTATTTAGCTAATAATGTCCTAAGTTCGTTAGTGTGATGTTTTAAAATTTTTACCATTTGCTTTGGCGCAGCTTAGCCTACATGGCTCTTGTGCCAAAAAAACTAAAACAAACCAAACCAAACCCGTCTGGTAAGGGCACGGAAAGCCGCAATTTTGTAGATAAAGGGGTCGGAAGAGTTCGCGGGGATGAACAGCGGGAGCTGGTCAGGTTTATGGTAAACGCTCGTTTCTATCTTGCCCCCCCCCCGAGACGAATGTTAACATCCAGAAAATGTGCACTCGAGTTGCTAACCTGATCCAAGCCGAGGGTGAGGCCGTACGCATTGTCATTCATACACGACAAAAAGTCGTCCAGATTCGGAGTGGTTTTCCACAGTATAAAGATGTCGTCTACGTATCTTTGGTATAGACTGATGTTTGGTAAGAATTTGGGCAACACTTTCTCCTCCAGTTGTCTCACCACCAGCTCGCAAAGGTCCCCCGAAAGTGGGCTGCCCATGGTGACACCTCGTCTTAGTAAATAAGTAGCTTCAATGAACTGGAAAACCGAAGTGTAGCACATAAGATGCGCCAGCTCCAATATCTGCTTACGGTGCCGGAGTGCATCATTCTCACATAGTAGAAGGTCCCTAAGAGTGCAGAAGCATGGCTGCAGTCTTATTGAAGGGAAGAGGGACACAAAATCCATGACCGTGAAGTGCAGGTCGTCACCAACCTCCACCCATCGTAACAACTCTACAAAGTCCACGGAATTGGTGGTAGAAAACTTGTAACCCTTCTATCGTTTGGCGGCAATGTTGTGGACAGCCTTCTCGAGCAGCCTCATAGGGGATCTAGCTTTATCCAGGATCGGCCTAAGAGACGGGGTCTGTTTGTGCATTTTGGTGAACGCGAACAGTCTCGGAACGTCAAGAGAGGCAACGACTGCCTTGCTCAATCCCCATTTCATGGCTAACGAAGTGCGGGTGAATCTAGAAACACGAGACTGTAGCTTATCTATGTAGCCGTTGTCGATGGGCTCGCAGTCCGTGTCGTCGATATACTGTTGTATGAGAGACCTGTAGGTGGCTTCTTTTAATAGAATGAGAGATTTATTTTTGTCCGCTTTGAGGACTATGATGTGTTTGTCTGTCAGCCATTTCCTGGTTTTTTGTAAGATGCGCCACCAGTTGTCATTGCGGGTCCTGTTGACGGAACAAATCGTGAATGTGGCTTTCCACCTGTAGTACTCTTTTTGGGTGTCGCTCAAGCCTTTGATGAGCCTTTCGATGTCAGGCATTATATTCTCTGGGCGTAATTTCGGTGGCCCCGGGGCAAACATCGGACCATGCTGCATGATGTTAAGGAGAGAATCCGGGGGTGTAATGTGGTTCCAACAAATCACTGGTGCAGCCCGCAAAGGTTTTTTGTGCAGACTTTGTTTAGCTAAGATCCAATCAAGTTTTTTACGGTACCTCGTCTGTAGGTCGCGCGACAGGGTTTCCTGGAAGCATGCCACCCTTCTGTTCGCTTCTTCAAGCTCCGTCTGNGTGTTTTTCCCGAAATATTTATGGCCCAGGGGTGGTAACAAAACGCTTATTGGCTTAAACAAAGTCAATCGACCTACAAAAGAGCGAATCATAGCTAAAATCGCAAGAAAACTCGAATATAACGCGAATTATTCAAATTTTTTATTAAAATCACATTATTGCGGTTGCCGCATCTCTTAAAAAACGTATGGTCACGTGACCAGCGTGTTAAAACTGCAATAATGCGGCTGCCACAGCAAATGGGTTAAACATAAAAGACACACCATCGCCTTATCAACCTATGTCACCGACCCTGAAATAAGGGCAAACTTCCGGAACATCAGATTTATCAGACAAGCGTTCTGTGCAGATCACATCTGTCACCTGGAGGCCTGGGAGATTCATAAAGCTATCAGGGGGGGGCAACTGCATCAACTTCAAGGAAGGGGAAATGCTCACACAGGCGTGGAAGTATTTGTTCGAGGAATTCGAACAGCGTCAGTCGGAGGGGTGAAACCCGACACGCACATTTATTTATTTACATTGTTGGCAACATCGTTACGACGGTCGGGACGAAACACGGCCAGTCACCACCTGAAGCAGACCTCGGTGGAGGTCGAAAGTACTTGTGGAATTTACTACGGACAAAACACGCATAAAAAAAGGTTTTCGTGGATTGTTATTATTCAACGCAATGTTAGGTTGTTGGAAGTCGTTTATCTTAATAAAAAAAAAAAAAACAGTTTTTTGATAAAAACACATTACATACCAAACTTGCAAACAAAAAGATAAAATGTGTCATTAAAAAGAGTCACATGTAAGAATGCATGAAAATACATGTAGCACGAATATGTCTGTGCATTGTCTTATCGAACATATCAAAGCAAGTGTGGACATGAAAAACCATTGCATGTTCACACTTGCTTGCAGTGAGATGAGAAAATGTTCAATATTAGCAGAATCTATCAGTCTTGTATGGTCATGCTTTCATAAAACTATAAATCTGTTTATTTGATGTGACATGTACTTATTTGTGATTCGAACTTTGAGTATAATTATTTACACTATAATCCATGTTTAAATATTTATTTTGAGACTTTCATTTTGTCCCAAAAAATTTATATATTTTTATCTACACTTTTAAAGAGATAGTTACCATAATCCTTCATTTGTTAATATCATACATTTGTAAATATGCTGATGCACTCTATCTTTTAGTCTCCTTTCTGTTACTCCTGTTTATTCATTTTTTTGATAAGTTTATTCTTGGAGTATGGTAGCTTTCATTCACCATCTCATCTTTATCATCCATACCTGAAAAACTGTAAAGAGGAGAAATATAAGATGGTGAATGGACTCTACCATATTCCAGGAATCTGGTTTAGCACATTATATATCTAAGAGTATTTCAGAAAAATTTTCACTCTCACATGCAATGCTTGTATGAAATTTAACTAATAAAAATGCAAAAATAAAATAATAATACAATAATTATAAATTTGAATTTTAAACAACATTAATAATGAAACTTTCAGTAATAGTTTATATTTGATAAATTTGTATAAAAAGTCAATAACTATTTTTTTTTTACTTTGATTACAGAGTGTTTTTGAAGATGAATTGAAAAAACACAATCAACAAGTTGCTCTTTTAGAACAGAATCTTGTGGCCCAAGATAACATCTTACATGCTTTAACCCAAGCAAATGCTCGTTATGCAAATATTAGAAAAGCAACAACAGAAATTCTAAATAGGTATTTATTTTGATTTTTACAGGCAATTATAAAGAATTTTATTATTGTTTAGAATTTTGTTTTATTTGATAAAACTACAAAAAGTAATTTTAGCTCTTAACTATATTATTATTACTCTTATTTCTTTTTTTATATTATTGAAAAAAATCAAACATTTTGTTTACTTTTTAAGTTCTTAAAATAATACAGAATTGTTAATAATACTTTATTATTTGTAATACTAAGTATTGTTAGATATGTTTTGAGCTTTCTTCAAATGAATTAAATCTAAATGGTTCTAAATGAATGCAGAAGTTAGAAAAATGTGATATTTTCTGTACTATATTANATATCCGTTAAATTCTTTTGGGGGTATCGCCAAAAACTACCGCAAAAAAAAATTCACATAAAAATTAATTATGTAACAATAAAAAAACTTCTTTACTAGACATAACTATTTACAAAATTTTTTCCAAAACAGTAATGAGAAAAAACGTGTGGAAAAATACTTTAAAAATTTCCCACGTTTATTATCCACTACCTTGGGGTAGCACCATACCTGACTATCCCACTGCTGAAAGGTTAATAATTTCTAATTAACAAAAATAGCATTCTGTATATGCAGCCTTATTTATTTGTTAATAAATTATATCAGTTACATGGCATTTGACATATGTACGTAAATCTCGGATAATTCGAAGTTGTGATTATTACCATATGAACATCTTAAAGCCCAATGATTAATATTATATAGCTTGATCCAACAATATTTTGGAAAACTAAAAGTAGTTTAAAAGTTAAAAGGTTAAGAAAGTAACAATAAGATCAGCTATTTTGTAGTCCCTTAAAAACATTTTTTAAACACACTTTCCTTTCTATGCCAGTTCTGAGTTATCAATTAAAAAGCTGCAACACAATATTAATAGAGAAATTTTTTTATTATTACCACAAACTTTTACACTTTCAGATTCATTTCACTAGATAACAAAGTCTAGGCCTTCTCAGTGAACAGGGGAGAGAAAAAAAACCACAAAAAAGTATGATTGTGTTTAACACATCCATTTCTCATTGAACATTTATACAGTCATCTGTCACATGAAGACCATTCATTTATATTTAGTACAATTCTATCCCAGCATGCATCTATCATCATGCCTTTATTTAAATTAATGTTAAAATACTTCATTATTAAATAATGTTCTTTAATTCATCATAAAATATTATTTTCTTTATAGAATATTCTTACATTATTTTTATCTATTAAACATTTACTTTGTTTACAGTGCTGATACCAAGGTAAATTTTTATCTTTTAGCCAAATTGCTGCTCCGTGTTCTGGCCAGTCTTTTATCTAATGGACACTTTGTTTTGCCGATGTAATATTTTGGTTGATCAAATGAACATGTTATCTTGTATACTATGCCTGATGTCTTCAATTTTTCTGTCTGTTTCCAATGTTTAATCATTAATTGTGATAACCTGGTTTGTTTTTGGGAGGGCACAAGCACAATTGTTGATTTTATTAAATTCACGTTTATATTTTTCGAAAAAACCTTTAATATACAGAAAAGAAATATATTGGTTATCATCATTTTTATTTCTAACATTATACCTATTATTCATGTATTTATCATACCAGTTCTTTGGCAATTTTTCAGGGTATCCATTTAGTAGATATTTCCTAAATAATTGTTCCTTTTCTTTTTCAAATATCCTCTTTACAGGTGGTTTTTGTGATTATTTTTCTTAATTCCATTCAAAACACATTCATTCTTATTGTCCAACAGCTACAAAAGAAAAAGTTAATGGTTCTCTCTTAATATAACTTATCAAATTAAGAAGCATCTTCACTGTAAATTTTAAGTAAAACACAATATAAATGTTTGTTTTAGACGGGAAGCAATGATTTCATCGTTAATAAATTCATATGAAGCATATGAAGAATTATTAGCCAAGGCACAAAAGGGACTAGAATTTTATCATAAATTGCAAACAAATGTTTCTCGTGTTTTGACTCGAGCTCGAAGTGTGACAAAAGTGCAAGATGAAGAAAGAGCTCAAATTTCAGAAGTTCAGGCTAGGAAAGGTAAATAAGCAATTTTTCTTATGTAAATATATAATTAAAATGTTAAAGGTTCATATTGACTTTCATATGACCCCTTTTTTTCCAGACATGCTGTCACTTTTGTGCAATTTATGTGTTCAATTAGTTTTCAGAGATTGTATCAACTAGTCAGTCAAGTGAAGATTTTGGATTTAATTTTCTCTAAAAGTCAAAAATTCTATGACTGAATCTCCTTGGATGGCTTGCACTGGTGGATTCCATTTTTTGGAGTAGCTTCTCCACATTTCTGTGCAATAGCAGTGCTGCCAATATGTGCAAAATATTAATAGTATCCTACATACTTGCCAAATTCTGTTTCCTAATGCAAATGCTTGATTTTTTTTTAACAAAATAATTCCAGTTTACTTTGACTGAACAAAATAGAAACAAACTGATTTTCTTTTTTTTTTTTAAAGCATATAGTTTTATGATTCTGGGCTATTTAATATCAGAACAAGTTTAAAAATTAAAAAACATTAATTTATTAGTGTGTGTTCAATTAAAAATATATATAGTAAATGAGTGCTAATTTATTTAATGTAATCATTTTACTTGTTTATGATTTTTCATGTACATATATCATTCTTTAAACAGGTTTCTGATGTTCAGCATTAATTATAGTGCTATGTTAAATATATATATATATATTTTATTTAATCTGTAATAACAAACTAGTAGAAAAACTTTTTAAGTATGCAAGTAAAATATCCAAAAACAAATTAAAATCAAATCAAAATCAAATTAATAAATTTATTTATTTAATTTGATTTTATTTTAATTTTTAAAATTTTATTATATATATATCAAATATATCATAACTAATTAGCTATGAAAATTACTTAATATAACTTATCAAATTAAAAAGCATCTTCACTGTAAATTTTAAGTAAAAACACAATATAAATGTTTGTTTTAGACGGGAAGCAATGATTTCATCGTTAATAAATTCATATGAAGCATATGAAGAATTATTAGCCAAGGCACAAAAGGGACTAGAATTTTATCATAAATTGCAAACAAATGTTTCTCGTGTTTTGACTCGAGCTCGAAGTGTGACAAAAGTGCAAGATGAAGAAAGAGCTCAAATTTCAGAAGTTCAGGCTAGGAAAGGTAAATAAGCAATTTTTCTTATGTAAATATATAATTAAAATGTTAAAGGTTCATATTGACTTTCATATGACCCCTTTTTTTCCAGACATATTTAATTTTGATATAACCATACTACTTACTTACAATGCTGACTAGGGCTGACTCAGCACCCACAGTTTATAATTATACCCATCATGGCACTCAGCCAGCTATCACTTTACCTTAGCATGGTGTATTTATACATATACAGGAAATTCTTGTTAATTCAAACTCAGACAGTTCAAAATCCCATTAGTTGGTAACTGTATTATTTGTTCCAGCCAGGGATATAGAGATTTGTGTGTTAAGGAATTTGGTTAGTTAAAATACAGCTACTTCAAAGTGAAAATTCTGTTCGAAATGTGATATGCATACATATGTTAACTTGTTTGTTTAGATCAGGGATGTCCAACCCACGGGCCGCATGCGGCCCAAGGGTTGGACACCCCTGATCTAAACGAACAAGTTAACATATGGCAAATTCCAATGAGGCCCAATATACGTGTAAACGAAACTGACAAATTTTTTTATTTATTTATTTATTTATTTCAATGGCACAAACTCAAAAAAGAAGTTTCACAAAGTTTATACATATTTTATTTTTGAGTGGAAAGGAAATATTTTCAAATACTTGGAAAGGTGTGAATGAGGAAGGAATACTAAATAAAGCTGGAGTTGTGACTCAGATTATAGTCCCAAATTCGGGGAAAGGACAGGAAGGCCAAAATATATAAAGTAGGGAGAAAGGTTAAATAGACCTTCTGTTATGCAAATATTGACCCATAATTTTCCAACCTTCTTCACTTTATCTTTTGTCCTTTCTCTCTTTCCCCTCGTTTGGGTTTCTAATCCTTGAGTCCCAACTCCAGCTTTATTTAGTATTTCTTCCAGCATTGCAAGATTTGGCTACTTTCCGCCAAATTTGGCTTTTTTGTTAGTTTGGCGTAAAAAATATCAATTAGCACATTGGCTACATTTTGGGCTACACATTATATATAAATATATTAGTTGAATAAAAATGCACTTTAAAATGGTGTTTCGTTGTTTTTTATTAGAGACCCAAATAAAACAAATATTTGTTCGTCTCCTTTATAATAAATGAATTTATCTATTTCTAAGTAAAAATTGAAAGTGTCTGTAGAAGTAATTTGTTTTTTAAATATTCTTTTTTGTGATAAAGTTTTAATACTTATTACTGTAATCTAGATATGTATATATTTAAGGATTGGGCCACAAGTATATATAATATATTAATACTTGTGGTCCAAAACTCCAAAACTTCTTCCAATGTGGCCCAGAAAAATAAAACGATTGGACACCCCTGGTTTAGATCAAAGTACTTACATACTATAAGAGAACAATAGACCAAGAACAATTGTAGTCTGGTCAACATGATTTTGCTTTTAGAGTAACAAATTTTTGGAAGTCACCTGTACCCATGGATTACCCTTTTTTTCTCTCTTAGCTCATAAAATACAGCTGGGTTTCAGGATTGAAAGATTAGGCTACAAGTAGCAGATTAAAGTATTTGTAGGACTCTAGGCTACTACAGTTGGACTACATTTCAAAGAATTCTGCTTTACTTTTTATAAAACCAATCTGGTAACCTGTGAGGTTTTTACTGGACACATGCTGTTTACCTGCAATTTATTTATATTATTAACCACTCAACAGTGAGGGATGGATATATCCGTCCAGGGCAATGGTGTGGCAGTGGTGAGGGACAGATATATCCGTTAAATTCTTTTGGGGGTATCGCCAAAAACTACCGCAAAAAAAAATTCACATAAAAATTAATTATGTAACAATAAAAAAACTTCTTTACTAGACATAACTATTTACAAAATTTTTTCCAAAACAGTAATGAGAAAAAACGTGTGGAAAAATACTTTAAAAATTTCCCACGTTTATTATCCACTACCTTGGGGTAGCACCATACCTGACTATCCCACTGCTGAAAGGTTAATAATTTCTAATTAACAAAAATAGCATTCTGTATATGCAGCCTTATTTATTTGTTAATAAATTATATCAGTTACATGGCATTTGACATATGTACGTAAATCTCGGATAATTCGAAGTTGTGATTATTACCATATGAACATCTTAAAGCCCAATGATTAATATTATATAGCTTGATCCAACAATATTTTGGAAAACTAAAAGTAGTTTAAAAGTTAAAAGGTTAAGAAAGTAACAATAAGATCAGCTATTTTGTAGTCCCTTAAAAACATTTTTTAAACACACTTTCCTTTCTATGCCAGTTCTGAGTTATCAATTAAAAAGCTGCAACACAATATTAATAGAGAAATTTTTTTATTATTACCACAAACTTTTACACTTTCAGATTCATTTCACTAGATAACAAAGTCTAGGCCTTCTCAGTGAACAGGGGAGAGAAAAAAAACCACAAAAAAGTATGATTGTGTTTAACACATCCATTTCTCATTGAACATTTATACAGTCATCTGTCACATGAAGACCATTCATTTATATTTAGTACAATTCTATCCCAGCATGCATCTATCATCATGCCTTTATTTAAATTAATGTTAAAATACTTCATTATTAAATAATGTTCTTTAATTCATCATAAAATATTATTTTCTTTATAGAATATTCTTACATTATTTTTATCTATTAAACATTTACTTTGTTTACAGTGCTGATACCAAGGTAAATTTTTATCTTTTAGCCAAATTGCTGCTCCGTGTTCTGGCCAGTCTTTTATCTAATGGACACTTTGTTTTGCCGATGTAATATTTTGGTTGATCAAATGAACATGTTATCTTGTATACTATGCCTGATGTCTTCAATTTTTCTGTCTGTTTCCAATGTTTAATCATTAATTGTGATAACCTGGTTTGTTTTTGGGAGGGCACAAGCACAATTGTTGATTTATTAAATTCACGTTTATATTTTTCGAAAAAATCTTTAATATACAGAAAAGAAATATATTGGTTATCATCATTTTTATTTCTAACATTATACCTATTATTCATGTATTTATCATACCAGTTCTTTGGCAATTTTTCAGGGTATCCATTTAGTAGATATTTCCTAAATAATTGTTCCTTTTCTTTTTCAAATATCCTCTTTACAGGTGGTTTTTGTGATTATTTTTCTTAATTCCATTCAAAACACATTCATTCTTATTGTCCAACAGCTACAAAAGAAAAAGTTAATGGTTCTCTCTACATTATTTGCTTTTTCAAACTTACAGAATTGAAGACCTTCATATGTTCTTTTAATAGTAATATTTAAGTAATTGATTTCTTTATTGTCTTCACATATGTCTTCACAATATGTCATAAACATACCACATATCTATCGAAGAAAACTATATCTTCTAAACTGTTCTTTTCCCAATCAATATCTATCATACATGGCATATTATTAATATATGATAGTAAGGTTGTTACAGCAGAAAAAATTGTGCAGCATGCCAACAAAATTGATCAGAATATACAATTCACATACAAATGTGAAGATAATAAAGAAATAAATTACTTAGATATTACTATTAGATATTACAAAAGTCTTCAATTTCATAAGTTCATAAAAACATTAAACAGAGTAAATGTTTAATAGATAAAAATAATGTAAGAATATTGTATAAAGCAGGGCTTCTTAAACTATGGGTCGCAACCCCATTTGGGGTCGCTTAGCAAAATCTTGGGGTCAAGAGATTTTAATGCAAAATATTGAAAATAATTTGTGAGAGTTTGAAAATGACATGCTTTGTGTCATAGGTTTCGTGAGTTGCACTTTGTATCACTTCTGGTGTAGCGAGACAATGATTCAGCAACACTGATTGTAGTGTAAATTAGTGTAGTGTTGTCGCTTTTCAGTGTATTCAGTTGTCCCTGTTCCATTGTAACACGAGTGAACTGTGGTAGTATACCATTATTGTTTTTGCAAATTTGTATATATCTTTATATATATATAAAATAAAGATATATACAAATTTGCAAAAACAATATATATATAAAAAATATATATATTTTTTGGTCGCAAAAATAATCACAATCATAAATGGGGTCATGAATTAAAGAAGTTTAAGAAACCCTGGTATAAAGAAAGTAATATTTTACGATGAAGAATTAAAGAACATTATTCAATAATGAAGTATGATAACAGCATTAATTTAAATAAAGACATGATGGGATGGAATTGTACTAAATATAAATGAACAGTCTTCATGTGATAGATGACTGTATAAACATTCAATGAGAAATTTCTCTACAAATATTGTGTTGCAAATCTTTAATTGACTCAACTCAGAATAAGCATATGAAGGAAAGAATAATCCTTTTCAGAAGTGTGTTTTTGAAATTATTTTTAAATACAGTGGAACCTCAGTATATGACCTTAATCCGTTCCTGATGTTTGGACTTATACCGAATAGAACATATACCAAACCAACCTTTCCCATAAGAAGTAATGTAAAAANTTATTATATTTCTGAGATATACAAATTTGCAAAAACAATATATATATAAAAAATATATATATTTTTTGGTCGCAAAAATAATCACAATCATAAATGGGGTCATGAATTAAAGAAGTTTAAGAAACCCTGGTATAAAGAAAGTAATATTTTACGATGAAGAATTAAAGAACATTATTCAATAATGAAGTATGATAACAGCATTAATTTAAATAAAGACATGATGGGATGGAATTGTACTAAATATAAATGAACAGTCTTCATGTGATAGATGACTGTATAAACATTCAATGAGAAATTTCTCTACAAATATTGTGTTGCAAATCTTTAATTGACTCAACTCAGAATAAGCATATGAAGGAAAGAATAATCCTTTTCAGAAGTGTGTTTTTGAAATTATTTTTAAATACAGTGGAACCTCAGTATATGACCTTAATCCGTTCCTGATGTTTGGACTTATATCGAATAGGACGTATACCAAACCAACCTTTCCCATAAGAAGTAATGTAAAAATGATTAATCCGTTCTCATGTAAAAAAATATGGCTGGCTTTAATTAAACACCTCGCTTTCCTGCTTGATTTTTCATGAGATCAATATGTATCTTTTTAGCTTTCTTGCAAATAATTGCTTCTGATAAAATTTCGCCAGCAAACTGTTTTTCAGTTATCCAAGCAAAAGCAATTTCTCAACATGATCTAATGTCTTCAATCTCTGTTTAGAAATGGATTTCACTCCTTTCGCAACGTTAGCAGATTTAATCATGTCTTTATTTTTCACGATTGTCAATATTGTCATTCTCAGAATATGGTATGCAACAGTTAAATCACGCATGCCATCTCCATATTTCTCAACAATCTCTTTTTTCAGTTCCATTGTGACTCTAGTCATTTTTTTAATTTTCTGTTGCTTTTCATTTATCTTTTTGCAATTCATGATTACTAAAAATAATAAAATTTTAATTACAAATTAAAATCAGAAGAAATTTAACAAAGTTATAAACCATGGCACCGCAAACGTCTAGTCTGGTCTAGTACACCGATAGTGCTATTTGTTCATTGATAGCGCATATAATTGAATTAAGTCATATACCGAGCAAAATTTGTTTTGTCCAAACAGGACTTATTCTAAAGCAGATGTATACCGAGGTATCACTGTATTTCAATTTTTAAGAGACTAAAAACAGTTTATTCATTTGAATGAAATTTTGTCATTTTTCACTGTTTCAAAAAAGAAAATGCATTCTTAATATGTTTGAAAACATGTTGTAAACTTTTCTTACTAAAAACTAAATATTAATATATAAAATATATCAGCTGAAATAAATTCATTGTATTATTTTTGCTAATTTATTTATTATTATTGAAAAAAATGACGACAGTATTTTAATGATGATGATTTTTTATTTTTACTTTTTTAGCTGGAAGAACATTTGATCTTCAAACTACTATTTCAGGAAGTAGTGTTCCAAGTGTTTCAAGTGTTCCAAAATTAAAAGATTATCTGCCTTTCATGACAAACAGAGCTGCTGCAGTAACTTCAACTACAACTTTCAGTTCTCAGCCTTCAGTTCCTATTCAGTCTGATCTTGATTCAAGTCAATTGAATTCACAATATCCTGCTGTTTCTGCTATACCGTATTCAAATTTCCAACCAGAACTGAGCAATATTATGTCTTCTGTTAAAACTTCTATCAGTGAACCAGCTTTTTATGAACAAATGGCAAATGAATCTCTTAATACTTCAGTGGATGCTGTAGCAATTGGTGTGAGACCTGCACCTGTAGGATCTGAAAAACCCATCACTGCCCAATGTACTAATACAACCCATACTTCCCCATATACAGTAAATAGCATAAATAAACCTATTTCTGCTGATGGATCTTATGGTCAGTCACAACAAGAATTAAATTATAATCAATATGATTATTCTTATTATCAACAGTATTCAACAAATTCAACGTTACCAACTGAACAAGCAACTTATGGTCATATGCAAAATATATCAAATCCACAGATATATGGCACTTCTAATCAATATACTTATTCTCAAGTTGGACAGAATCAAACTAATATGGATATTTCTTCATATCATCAATATTCTACAGGTAGTGATGTAAATTATCAAAATCCAATAGTATCTAATTACAATCAAAATATAATTTATTCTTCTCAACCACAAACTACAACATCATTTTCTTCTTATCCTCAAACTTCTGCTTCAAATTATATGTATAATTATACTATACCACAAATAAGTTCATCTGCAACTTGTAATTACATTTCAAATCAAACAACTCTAACCAATATGACTGCAGAACATTCCAACTATAATCAATATAATGCTGAAACAGTCAAACCATCTCAATATATCACTCAACAAATACATTCAAATGAAATTCCAGCTCAAAATATGAATTATCAAACTTATCAGTTACCTAGTTCTGGAAGTCAGCAATTAAGTGTTGGTCAGATATCTTCCACATATTGTTATGGACCTGGATCACAGATATCATCTACAGAACAGTATAGCCAAGATCAGTATATTAGTAATCAATTTCCCAGTAATTATATAAATACTCAAACTTCAACTGTTTATAACCATTCTGTCTTCCCACAACCCAATAATATAAATCAAATTCCAAATGCCTATTCACAGCAAATTTCTTACAGTGAAACCATTCCACCAGTCAGTGTGGTGGATCCTATTGATCCTGTGAAACTGCCTCAAAAAGATTCTAATGTAACAGAAGCAGTTTCTACAAAATCTACTCCTGTTGTCAGTCCTGCACATTCCCAGAAAAATGAAATAGTTGAAAAGGACACTACTGATATATTATCTAGTTCTGTAGAAAACAAATTAACAATTGAACAACAGTTGCCAATATTAAAACCAAAGGTAAGTTTACATGTAATATTAAAACTTATACAAAATTCTTAACATTTTTATTAAATAGCTAATTAACATTTTTATTTATTATTAATCTTTTGTTGTTTTTATCCACCAAAATAAAAAAAAAACTATTTACTAATGTTAATTTTATAAATTGTATTATTTGTATTTTCTATAAAAACTAAACATTTTAATTTTTGATCAAGTTTAGATGACAAAGATTAATTATATTTTAAAAAATTTTTAATTCAAAATGCAGTACGTCAATCTGAATTATCTTACTTTTTGTGTAATACAAATTAAAAATTATTTATATTGATAAATTAGACTTGTGTAAAATATTTCAAGTTGTTATTATGAAATATACAAATTAACACAAGACAAGAGAGAAAATCTAAATTATCGAAAACTGTTGAAATATAAAATTTGTTTAAATTATTATATTTCTGAGATAAGTGTTTTATTTCTTTTTTCAAATACCATTGTCCACTTTTTCTTGCATTTCATTATCCTTTATGTTTAACTAAAATCATTCAATAGTTGGTTATTCAATTGTTGAGTGAATTATAAAAATGTGTGGAAGAATTGATTCAAGAATAATTAAATTTATTAAATTAGTGTTATTAGTCTTAATGAACTTTTGATGAATACTGTGCATTAGAAACAAAATCAACCTCAGTTGCTAAATTGAATCAGTGATCAGCAGACAAAATTCATATTTTGAATATGTAATAAAGATAACAAATTATAAAAAATATCATTTCAAAGTTCAGGCAAACAATGAATAAGATGTGGATAGTTGAGAAATTACAGATTGAAGTGAAGTGATTTTTGACAGAATTTTGAGCTCTCATTGAGGACTGACAAAACATCAGGACTTTATTCATCTGAAATCTAACAAATAGTAACAAAATGCTTTAGCAAATGTATAACATTAATTGGGGGAAAAACCATTATTATTTTAATTAATATACATTTGAATCAGAATTTCAATGCATAAAATTAAATACTATAAATATCAAAATATGGAATTATATTATGTTATACTTATATTTTTAAAAAATTTAAAACAACTGAATTAATTGAAGTTCTCGATTTTATTTTAACGCAAACATTTTCAAGATTTTCACCTTAAAAATGTTTGCATTCATTTGCAATGAATATAAATGTTTCTAGACAAAAAAGTGAAATAATTAAATCTAGAAATTATAGAAGGCATTAAATAGAAATAACAAGATTTTGAGGAACTGATGTATAAACTTGATTCAAAGCAGTATATAAATACTGCTTTCACGAAGAGCCAAAATGAATAGAATTGGTGGAAGAATGACAATAAAATACAAAGAGGAGAAATTTTGATTCTTTTTATCAAATGATGCCTAGAGACAACTACAATACCATTGTTCAAAAATATTTTGAGTTTGAGATAAAAACAAGAAAATCATGATTATGAATTGCCACTTGTTTTAGAGGAAAATTTCTAGTCATTGCTCTAAGCACTAATTAATAATAATAATAATATATATTATTGTAATGAACTTGATATATTGTATAAATTTTTATACTTGTAACTTTATAAACAGGATTTGAAATTGATTTACTTATATAATTAAAAATATGATTAAAAATTGCAGCCTGGCATTATGACAATGTCACAATAAATAATTGCTTGTTTTATACAGTTTATTACTATAATCTTACTTTTGTATTAAATTTCTGAAATATATCTGATTAGAACAGAAAGTAATATGTTACATTTTAATTCATTATTTATGACATTTAATCTGATTAGTCCCCTATTGTTATTAAACAATTACTCAATCAGATTAACCTTCATTTGTTAGATTCATAAGGAAAAATGTTGAAACTAACAAAGCATTTTAAAAAAATTTTTATGAAATTATCATGATGCAAATTATATACCATTGTGCTTCACTTAATGTCAGAATACTGACATGATCTGCATGTAAATATTGGTTGTGATCAGAAATATGCCTTAATCTCTATAATTATAATTTAATATATGTCTGAAGAAAAAGATCAGAACAGTTTAAGATAGTAAGTTGTTGAACCTACAATCTGAAGATAAATGAAGTTCCACTCTAGAACGTCTTTTCTTCCATGTGTTTATAAACTATAGATTAATTAATTAATTTAATCCTAACTATTAAATTTATTATAAGATGACAGCTCTTCCTAATTTTAATTGTGTAATAAGTAAATTCAATTATAGGACAAGATGAATGAAAGTGATGAGTGATTTCTGAATATTCTTGCAAAGAAATGATTACGGTAGAAATCGGAAAATTTGGCATGCAGTATTTGAAACCGTAGTTATTGTTTGTTTGTGTTTGTTTAAATTAATAGTAATTTTTTGTGTTTATGTATTTTATTGAAATAAAATTGTAAAATATAATTCCCATGGAGATGAGTGATGGGATGAATTTTATCAGTTAATTATTATTTATAGTGTTTCAAGAATTTTAAAATTTGAATTTAATTTTAATTTTGTTTCATTAGTCTTAATAGCCATAATTGTTTATATTATGTTACCTTTTTTTTTTTTTTTTTTAAAATANTATTTTTATTTTAGGTAATATCAACAGCAGAAACTCTTTCTAGAACTGATTCTGTAGAACAAGAACGAACACAACTTAAAGATCCGCTATCTGATAATAGTACTCTAGAAAAATTTATAAGTGAGGTAGAAAAATTTGAAAAATTTGTAGAGGGGTTAACCAGGAAATCATTGTTGGGACCAACAGCTCTGGATCAAAAATGGAAGGTGTGTAATATAAATACAGTCAATTCCACTTAATAGCACAGCATCGGGACTAGAGCTTTTCAGACATCGAACATCCCAATAACAAGTTATGTTAGAGATGTGTCAATGCATGTTCTCACCAATAAAACAAACATCTGAGTGCAATAAACCATTTTAATGACAAGAAATTATTTCTGTACAAAAAACATCATTGCAGTACAATCTAGACAGCTGATAAAGGAAATCAGGCAGAGGTCGCATATGGAAACGCCAGAAATATCCACGTTCGTGTCTCTTTAGTTTTCCAAGAAAAATATTGTGCCAGCAGGGCTATTAAACGGCATTTCGGGACCAGTAGGCAAAGTAAATTATGCTTGGATTTCATTCCGTTCTTGAATGTTTTGTACTAATAAGCAGCATGTTCTACTAACCGACTGGGCTAATAACTGGAATCGACTGTATTACTTTATTTTTAATATGTATTTATTATAAAGTTTCTTGATCCAACATTGTTCATTATCTATCAACTAGCTACTTTCTTAAATATTAAATATAAAAAATTTTTAAATATGCTTTCGATATTGAATAAAAATAATAATGACATTTTAAAACTTGATATTGAGACAAGTTCATTTCTTGTTTCAATTAAAATTTTATTAAACAACATTAAATTTATAAATTAGCATTATAAGATTACTTATATGAAGTGAGCCTTTCCATTTAATTTTTAGGTCCTTTCCAGTATTCTATAATTATATTAATATTATTTATAAGATAAATTTTACAATTTTATAACCTTTGTTAAAAAAAAAATATTTATGAAATAAATAAAATAAAATAAAATGATTATCATTTAAATATAAAGGTACGTTATATTGTACATTTTATTCTTGTTTTACTTTCTTATCTTTAGCATAGTATTGTCTAAAAGACACATTTAAGATATTACAATCAGCACCGACAGACAGAAAGACATTAAATTCTTACATAATTATTCATTTTATATATTTTTAAGATATTCATGTTTGTCTGTTTTTTAGTTGTTTTTTCCCCCTCCCTCTCTTATGTGTCTTATAAAATTATCCTTGCATTTTTATACATAAACTAGCTGTTACCCGCGGCTTCACCCACGTGGAATTAGCAATTTGATAGAAATAACCCTCCCCCAGTACTACACTAAGATTCTCAATCATTAGTTGTTACTATAAAAACAAAAAATCACATCTAAAATAGTACAGTAGAAGCCATTCTTCAGGTTAAGCCTTAATCCTCTCCCTCTCCCCGCGGGGGAATTTCGAAAAATTCCTTCTTAGTGCACACAGTTCACAGTTAGGGTGCATTTTCGTGATGCACCCTAACTGTGTAATAAATTTCACTTCTTTAGGTTCAGCGGTTTGCTCTGGGCGATGATGAATCAGTCAGTCAGCACATGTAATTTTATATATTTAGATAAAAACACTACTTATTTAGTGTAATAGATCATATTTTTCACAANGTTGTTTTTTTTCCCCTCCCTTTCTTATGTGTCACTTATAAAATTATCCTTGCATTTTTATACATAAACTAGCTGTTACCCGCGGCTTCACCCACATGGAATTAGCAATTTGATAGAAATAACCCTCCCCCAGTACTACACTAAGATTCTCAATCATTAGTTGTTACTATAAAAACAAAAAATCGCATCTAAAATAGTACAGTAGAAGCCATTCTTCAGGTTAAGCCTTAATCCTCTCCCTCTCCCCGTGGGGGAATTTCGAAAAATTCCTTCTTAGTGTGCATTTTCGTGATGCACCCTAACTGTGTAATAAATTTCACTTCTTTAGGTTCAGCGGTTTGCTCTGGGCGATGATGAATCAGTCAGTCAGCACATGTAATTTTATATATTTAGATAAAAACACTACTTATTTAGTGTAATAGATCATATTTTTCACTATATAATATGTACTGGAGTATAATTCTTCTGGAAAAATACTTTTTAGGAACAAGTCACAAAATTCTAATTTGGAATCCAACAGATATCTATACTGAAAAAAATGCTTTAGGATTATCTTTAATGATAGGTTTACAGTAGTATTTCATTTAATGTTGGAAAACAAATAAGATAAATATAATGATACTGTATATAATTAAAATAAGTAAATAAATTCAAGCAGAAAATGGAAATTTGAGTTCAAATATTTCAGAACAAAAAGTATGTTTATATGTAGTGATATATTTAGAAGCAAGACAATAATAGAATCTATATATATAACCCATTCAACGGGTATCTGTCTGTCCCATAACCGTTTGATAATGGACACTACAGGCACCCCTATCGTGTGTCATATTTCAAACATTTAAATTAACAATATAAATTTTTATTATTCATTTGGCCAATAAATTATTTGGTCAATATAACAATATAAATAATTCAGTATATTTGTAATAGGAATTTATTGTCGTCACGGAATGTATGTAATGTTCACTAGGGGGCGAATAACGAAAAACCGGATAGGTTTGAATCACTACGTAAGACGATAAGGTTTGAAATAGTTNAAAAAAAAAAAAAGCACAAACTACGTTTGGAAATATTTTTAAAGATTTAATAGAAGCTTTGCTACAGAACCCTCTCTCTTCTCATACGATTGGCAGGCAATTAGCAGAGGCAGGTTTGTATGGAATGGTGTTTGAGTAATATTTTGACAAGTCATTAGTGACAAATCTGTTCTGTTTAGGAACAGATGGCCATTGTGTTAGTATGGAGAATTGGTGAATTCTTCATCCCACCTTTTTTGTTGAGCAGTACGCTGCTTCCACTTCTGGCATGCTGGTGTGCAGAACCATCTCAATATGATAAACAGTCATCCCTAATAGTGGTATGAAAGACATTGATGGCATAGTGATACATTTAGGAAATCTTGCACCCTTGTGTTTCCTTTCATGGCAGAACTGCAGACAGCTATTTTCCAGCAAGACAATGCTCAGCCACACAGCTGAGGTTTTCCAGAAATGTCTCCGTCACATTGTCACACTTCCTTTACCTGTCCGGTGTCCAGATTTGATATATATCAAGCATTTGTGGGACAAGATGGGATGCCAGCTTCAGCCATCTACAAGTGTGAGGGATCTGGAATGGAAGTTGCAACATCTGTGGGCAAATCTGCAACTGTATTGCCACACCTAAGCAAGAGGAGTTCTACAAGTTACTAAGGGTTTCTTTAAATTATACTATTGTTCTATAGGAAATTTTCCATTTACTATGATATTGTGATTACTCGTTACCATGTTTGTGCTAATAGTTTCATTTGATTTGATATTCATCTTGAATGTTCAAATGGGCCATAACTTTTTTTGTTAATGAGTATATATAAAAATTAACTTTTCTTTTAAACATTTTATCATTAATAAGGTTCACTTGCAGATGTGTACACTTGAAAAATATCTGAGAAAACTCAATATATGTAGGTAGCTATCTCATTACATAAGACATTCTTATTTTTAAATAATGTATGCTAGGATTAATACTAAAACACTGAACACACAAAAATACTATAGGCCTACATACAAATATTTAGTTTCATATAAGGAAAGTAAATTTGCTTTTTATAGATGTAAGTATCTGATAACAAACGAGTATTATTATAAGAAATGAATGACCAAGACAATATAAACAAATATACACAACTACCTGAACTATATGAATCAAAACTGAAAAGATAAGATAATAAGTTAAAAAAAAAAAAAAAAACGGCTCACCATGTGGTAAAGGTGCTTGATCTTGAACAAAGCAAACAAATGATATGACATGCGAGAAGACAAATGCTACAGTAAAAACATTTTTCTTGTGAATTTTTTTAAACATGAAAATAGTATGTAGTCTGTGTTCTTTTGCTATTGGCAAGCATAAGCTAGCCAATAGCAAAAGAATCTTAAAAATCGGTCCAGCAGATTCCAATATTACCTCCAACAAAGATTTTTGCATCTTTGTTTTATATTAATATGATTAGTTGATAAATTTAAATTAGATTATATAGTTTTTAACCTATTTATTTTTTAGTCTACATTGAAAATGAAAAATAAATGCAATACTCAAAAAATTTGTATTTTTAAAAAATATATATATTTTTAAATTAAAGATGATAATGATCAATAAGCAATGTAGTCAATATAAATTACAAGTTTTGTTTTGTGCATTCTAAATATGGAGACTTGAACCATCTGTTTGGGTGGGTGAAATGAAAGCAAGTTCATGCAATTTATTTTCTAACTGGTACCTTTAGATCAAAAGCAATTGCTATCAGCATGGAGGCATTTGTTTTACTGCTGATAATCTACAATTCCTTGGTTGTAGAATTTTCATTTATGACAGAAGAAATCTGTGACTATGACTATGCAGTAAGACCCTGCATAATGCGGGGGTTGCATTCCAAGACGACAAAATGCTAAATGAAGCAACGTTAAATGAGGTCATTTTAACATGGAGTAAATAGGGAAAGAGAAACATGCGACCAAAAATAAACAGATTTTACTTTCAATTTTCGGTTATTTTATATTAATTTGCATAATATGTTAAATAACACACAAACATATGCACACAGAAATGTAAAGTTTATTTTTTGTGATGAAGGTCCTGGCTTTTCTGAAATTCTTGTTTTTTGCAATAAAGTCATATAGTTTAATTTGTGGCTATTTTTCTTTCCTTAAGCAAATGTCGGTAGCAGAAGATCACATCTAAAACAACTCGTCTTGCTTTTGCCCTCCTTTCAAAATCTGGATCATTCGCTACAATTTGATCAACGATTTCGGTTATCGTTACCAAACTTTTATTAAGGAAATCTGTAGAGAAATTCTTTGGGTTCTTCATTTTCAGAATCACTATTTTCCAGTTCCACTGGAAAATAGTGATTCAAGAACTGGAAGAATTTCTTGTTCTTCCAGTTCTTGAAGGTCATCATTGATAAGGCTCTCACCAGAAATCTGCAGTAACCCCTCAATATTCTGCTTGTCTACATCTCCTAGTCCTGCTGTACCAGTTAGGTTGA